TAAAAATAATTTATGCATTCATTTAATAATTTATGCATTTTATCCAAAGCGACTTACAGTGCATTCAGGCTATATATTTTTTTACCAGTATGTGTGTTCCCTGGGAATTGAACCCACGACCTTTTGCGCTGCAAACGCAATGCTCTACCACTGAGCCACAGGAACAAATATATATACACACACATATGTGTATATATATACAGTGGCCTGATGTATTTGTTGTATTGGTCATGAATTATAAAAAAGATTTATATATATACATACAATTCCTAAAAGACAAAAACTATGATTGATTGATGGATTGATTGATTGATCAAAGCTCACTTTTTATTCTAATCTTTTTTATAATTCATGACCAATACAACAAATACATCAGGCCACTGTGCACCATTTTCCCTCTAGTAGACATCTAGTAGACATCTAATGAGAAAGATCATCTAAACCACAATGAGTGACAAACCAGAGCCTTGAGCCCTTCACACAGTGTAGAGAGTTTGTAATCTGACTAAACATGGGTGTTGTCAGGCCTGTTGATGACAGGATCCCGGAGAGCCAATCATGGGTGACGGCACGAGCCCAAGAGATGTCTCAGAAAGCAGGAAGCTGGAGTCCTGAAGGCCAAAACCCAGACGACACTGCAGATAACCACAGACAATCTCAGGTACACAGAGCCTCATTTACAATCTCATTTACAATTTTCGGTGAGGGTACCTATGTAAATGCTTAAATTTATGAAAATTACTTTAGGGTAGTGCATCACTGTACTCTTAACCTCAAACATTACCAGATTAGTATGATAGTACAACAATAAATGCAAGTGAAATAAAAAAGGTGCGATTTAAAAAAAAAATAATAATAACTTTTTGTGATGTGAGAGCCACTATTTCACTACTTTATGAATTCTCCAGCAGCATATAACTCCCTCACAGCATGATAATATTGGTTGGACTTCAGAACGTTCATTTAGTGTCAAACCATTGGACGTCTCAGTGGATCAATAACGTTTTCTCTGCCTTTATAAGACAGCAAATCAGATATTCACGTCTTTTGTGGAGGGTGTCCATTGGAGCGGTTTGTTTTCATAACCCTGAATGGTTGGTCTGTCTATCCCTCATCCATGTGCATCTCATTGGCAGACAACAACAAAGCCCCCTTCTCTGTAAAAACTGAATTTGGTGGACTATCTTCCACACTCTCTTATTCTCTTTCTTATATTTTCCTTCAGTCTGTGTGTCCTTCTGTTACTGTTTATATTCTTTTATTAATCTCACATGTCTGCTTTGTATGGTGAAGCTCATGTCATTGAATATATGCATCCATATTCGACTGTCTGGGAAGGATGTTTAAACCCTTCCGCAGTCTTACGTGCCATTATACTGTCAGGAAGTGAGACACTCCTACCCAGCTCAACTATTCATTAAATTCATGTCAGGAACCGCAGTCACTTTTATCCAAAGCTTATCAATAAGAAAGACAACATAAGCAATTCATAAGAAGTAAGTAACAAAAGAAAAGCTGCAAAACACAGTTCTAAAATTGATTAGAAAAGTCAAGCTTTACTGAGCAGATGAAAGTGAGAAACATAAGATAATATTGTTTATTGAGAATATATTTTTTTTTATTGCAAGAGCTTATAGGCATAGTTCACCCAAAAAAATTAAAACTGAACAATTAAAAACACCATTAATTAATCACCCGCATGTCAATCAAAGCTCATATGACTTTCTTTTTTTTTCTATGAAACAGTGAATTTTTGAAGAATATCCAGAGCACTAACATAACATAATGACAGAGAATGAGGACTGGGGTTGTTACTCTCCAAAATGACCACAAAAATAAACACACATGGTCCATAAAACTTGTGCACTATATTTATTTATTTATTTTATTTTTATTTTTTAAAGAAATATGGTAGTTAGTTTGCTGAGGTTTAAGTCACTATTTACTGGACAAATCTTAACATCTATGTTCATAAGAGAAGTAGCAATGTCTAATTCATGTTTGAATCATTTATTGGTGTCAGATCTTATGAATGAATCCAGTTTACAAAACCAGTCTGTTTGAATCAGAGTTAGGTTTACTCATTGACTCAACGATCCAGTCACAGCATTCAACAGCTCTTTGTGAAAAGAAATTAGTGAATAACGACTTATATTTTGGTCTTTTTCTTACAGTTGTTATCATATGGCATCAGATCATTTTGAATTATATTGCACAGATCTTTCCTATGATTCTTCCATCTTTCTTGAAGCTTGAAAGCTTCAGTCCCCATTTATTGTGATTCAAGAATTTGCTGGTTGCTCCTTTTTGTGCAAAGTCCTTCTTTTGTGTTCTATGGAGGAAAGAAAGTCATACTGTTTAGAAGAATGTGAGGGTGAACAAATGATGTCTAAACCTTTAACAAAAATGCAGAAGCATAATTGAGTCAAGAGATGTGTGTCTAGGGCTGGCCGATATGGCAAAAAAATTCAATCTAGATTTTTTTCAGTACGTTTGACCGTTTCTCGATTTTTACGATTTACGACTTAAAAATGTAACTACAACATGATTCAAGTAACTTTTTCTTTATTAACCCTCTAAAGAAATTTCTATTTTAAGTGCACCACACATGAAGTTGTCAACATGATGTAAATGTTAAACAAATCACTTGTCTTAACGTTAAATATCTTTGCAAAAATGTGCATGAACTGCATCTTCTACAAACTTGTCTTATACATATTATATGTTCAGAAATACAGTAGTAGTTCTTTACAGGTTTTTATTTGATTGCGCTGCTTTTCCACTGTTTTTTCTATGTAAACTTGGACGCATTTGACTGTTGCTCTTGCATCTCTTGCAGCGTCTCATGCATAAAACGGCATTCTAAAAACGCGCCGCTCAAGTTGAAAGAACTTCAACTTAACTCCCATCTTCCTGCATTTTATTCCTATTCCACTGCCCGTGTCACATCTTTGTCAACACAAAAGCGCATTCTGTGTGAATGGCACCTGGTGATATATTCTACTTATGGTCCTTCACAGAGCGTGTCACACGTGAGCGGTTAATCACGTGCGCCGACATGCGGTTGGATCATTCTTTTCTCTTTACTGTTAACATTGACATATTGTCAAAGTGTCTAATTCTAACGTTTGGTAATATTTCTATTCAAAATCAGGATTCCTAAAAAATTAAATCGTGGCATAAAATTACATTTGAATTAATCGATAAAATCTGAAAAATCGCCCAGCCATATGTGTGTCTATGTATTTGAAGCTGGGTCACAGTATATCCTGTTTGTGATCTAAGAGAGAGAGAGTAGTTTCTAATACCATCATCTCCTGATCTTCTCTCAGTGATCCTGTAATTGAAGCCCTGCATGTATTTACCCAGCTAACAGCATCAGATCCTACTTTTTGCAACCCCAACAGCAGTTACATATAGAACAGAGGCTGGGGCAGGACTGTCCTGCTACTCTTGCATCTCCCCACAGGGTGAAGGGAGAGATGAAGGTGGAGATGTCCTCCTTCCATCCACTGTGCTTAGGCCTGTCTCTCAGGCCCCTGGCATTCACTCTTGCCTGCTGTCCCTGGGCAGTCATGCATGGTCTCCCTCTGTTTCTGCAGACAGTAGAGATGAGAGAGATGGGGCGGGACGGGTACTCGGACACTGAGCACTATCTGCCAATGGAAGGCCATGGCAGGGCTGCTTCCATGCCTCGACTCCCAGCAGACAACCAAGTGAGCGCCTCATCCTGTCATTCCTTCGTGTTTCCCCCCTTCCTTTTCTTCTACCCCCTTTTCATATCTGTCCTTCCTTTCTTGACCCTCCAAACATTCCACTTTCCATTCCTGCATTAAACAAATGAGCCCATTGGCCAGATAAAGCAAAGAGAACCCATTATAGCATATGCAATGGATTGATATCCTTTACAAACAAGTGTGAGGGTGAATTACACAAACGAGTCAATTATGCTAAGTCGCTAAGTCATAACGATAGTAGATGGCTAAATGGTGCATTAAGTCAAGTATTCAGCCATGCAGTCTATGGAGATGAAATGTGTAAGATGGTATAGCAGCATGAATTACATTTCATTAGGGACACATGTTCAGGTGTTTACATACTATGGGTCATGTAGACGGGGTAATAGTGGAACTGAGTAACAGGGACGACCCCCCCCCCCCCCCCCCCCCCAACAACCGACGCTAGCCATTGACTTGGTATGGAAAAAATACTATGGATGTCAATGGTTACCATTAACTGTTTGGTTGCCAACATTCTTCAAAATATCTTCTTTTGTGTTAAAGAAACTCATACAGGTTATACAGGTCATACATAAACTATCCCTTTAAACTTTCAGAAACGCTCAAGGTGATAGTGGTGCAATTGCTACTGTATATATGGAATAAAAACTTGATTGCTGTCTGTGCCACAAATACTCAAGAAAAGCTTGTAATGCACCTGCTGGACTCTCTCTTCTCGGCTGGTTTGCTCACTTTTCAGATGTCAAACGCGGTGGTGGTTCCTCTCTTGCTCCTGTGCATTCAATCTTTACCTTCTTTGCGTAGAGATGGCGCCCCCTTTAAGGTGGCTTTAGGTATTGCAAGAAAAATGTAGATAAAGATTAGTACTTCCAAGGGCTTCTTTCCTCAGCCATAAACGGTTCTTTAGAGGAGATTGGAAGTCTTAACTCTTCAGACGTGTTCGTTACAGCCACATCGTTCAATAATCAGAAGGTATCAATGGTTCATGATGCCTCAAATCTCTATGAATCCTCAACCACTATTTTGGAGGAGGGCTCTGCTCATCTTCCTTCTTCAGGAGAATTCAGCGGATTGGGGTCCGCGATCTTCCTGGAGGAGCTCGACCGGGAATGGGAGCTCGACCAAACCCGGTCGGCTCTCAAAGACTCCCGTCTGAGCTTCAGCAGTAGATCTGAAGATGAAAACCGAGAGGGACTGTCCTCTACTTTCTACTTTGAGAGCGAGCGAGAGGCGGCCACCACCG